AATAGGCCTTAGATGACCAGTGCTGGCAAATCCTAACTGGGAGGCAAATTGGGAGAGCCCACTGCCCTTGCAGACTGGTTACTATCCCTGCTGGAGCCCTGTGGAAGCGGATAGAAATCCAGGCCCTAGGAGGCTGCCAAACCAGAGCCACCTGCCCCCTTGTACTCTAGCCATGGGTGATACAGTCAAGGTAAAAAGCAGGTTGCAACCTGAAGGCTGGATATTCCAGGTGTAGGGCTCGTTCTGGTTAAAATGTGTGGGTACGGGGACTAGGGGAGGTCACTCAAAGAATCTGGGGAACTGGAGCATCACTAGGGTAATCGTTTTGTTTGGGAGGGGCTTTCCCCAGAGTTTCTATGAGTGTGTATGTACTTTGAAACACTTAGAATCTTATTGTCAGCATGGACAGACAGGGACCTAGGGGACAGAGGGACATTAAGGCCAACATATTGTTTTACAGATCAGTAAACTGAGGTCCAGAGACCCGTGACCTAGTGAAGGAGCTCAGGTTCAAGTGCCCGGCTTCTTGCCCACAGCGCACTGCCAAGGCACCTTCTCTGCACCACTGTGTGTGCGCGCATGAGTGGGCAGCTGCACACCACCGTATACGTAAATGTGTTTATGCATGAAGTGCATGTGCTTTGTGGTCCATGGGTGAAGGCACAAAGGCCTGTGTACATGGTGACTGGGGGTTATACTAGCATACTGAGCAGACTGTAACAAGCGGACACACATCTCTCTTTTGGATCAACCCATATTTGGAGAAGACAGGAGCTTTCTCATGCAGAGGGGGCAAGGGAGGAAAGTAACCCTGGCTTTAGGCGTCTGTGCTAACTCGTGCCGTGGACCATGTGGAAGCCTGAAGACGCCTGGGGCCTTCGGAGTACCACTGTGGTTAGCCACCCATGGCCACCTGCAGCAGTGGCCATCACCCTTACTGTGTGATGGAGCTGCACTGCTAAAGTCCCCAAGGCCCTGTGGGATGGCCAGAGATGTCTGACCTTGCCCCACTACCCTCTGTCTTCCCTGACTACTCTGGTCTCCCAACCTCAATGTTGACACCCCATCTGCAGGTGACATCACTGTCCATGCAGCTCTGTAAGTCTTCAAACTGGGAGTCAACCTACCTCCCACCACCGACCCTTCAATCAATCCAGATGAAAAATGCCTCTGGGCATTTTGCGGACAGAAGATATAAGGAATGAGTCATAAATATCCTGTCATATTAGACAACAGGATGCTATGAAACACTCCTGGGGTTGGCTGGGCGTGGTGGCTCATGCCTGTAATCCTAGTACTTTGAGAGGCCGAGGCAGGCAGATCACAAGGTCAGGAGTTTGAGACCAGCCTGGACAACATAATGAAACTTGGTCCCTACTAAAAGTACAAAACTTAGCCGTCCCAGCTACTTGGGAGGCTGAGGCAGGAGAATCACTTGAATTCAGGAGGCAGAGGCTGCAGTGGAGCCACTGCACTCCAGCGTGGGCAACAAAGCATGATTCTGTCTCAAAACAAAAAACAAAAAAAGCACTCCCAGAGTCATGTCAAACGGACACAGGAACCAATCTGAATACACTTCTACTAGCCAAAGGAAGGACTTTCTGAACATCAGTAAGATTAATAACTGCAATGGATTGACACCAATCATTGATGTTTAAATCCACTGATTCACACACATTTAAAAATAACTCATTTTTCACCTTAGGGGGATTCTAGGCAGCTGGTAAATAAAGAGAAAGCAGTAAATGTTTGTTCTGTCTTTTGCATGTGATCTCTACCTCAGGGTAACTAAATAATCAATGAGAGCAAGTTTCACTTTGTAGAAATATGCAGGTAAATAAAAGAAGAAAAAATTGGGCCGGGCATGGTGGCTCAAGCCTGTAATCCCAGCACTTTGGGAGGCCGAGGCAGGTGGATCACGAGGTCAAGAGATCGAGACCATCCTGGTCAACATGGTGAAACCCCGTCTCTACTAAAAAATATACAAAAAATTAGCTGGACACGGTGGCGCGTGCCTGTAATCCCAGCTACTCAGGAGGCTGAGGCAGGAGAATTGCCTGAACCCAGGAGGCGGAGGTTGCGGTGAGCCGAGATCGCGCCATTGCACTCCAGCCTGGGTAACAAGAGCGAAACTCCGTCTCAAAAAAAAAAGAAAACAATAGTTGGACCTGAATTTATGCAAGCCTCCATAACTAAATACATAAGACAGAAGATGTGTTAAATGGGACCACGGGGATGCAATCAAGCAAATTCAGACTGTGGGAAACTACAAGGCCAAACAATTCCATTTCCGGCCGGGCATGGTGGCTCATGCCTGTAATCCCAGCACTTTGGGAGGCGGAGGCAGGTGGATCATGAGGTCAGGAGCTTGAGACCAGCCTAGCTGATATGCTGAAATCCCGTCTCTATGAAAAATACAAAAATTAGCTGGGTGTGGTGGTGCACGCCTGTAGTCCAAGGTACTCGGAAGGATGAGGCAGAAGAATAATTTGAACCCTAGGGCGGAGGTTGCAGTGAGCTGAGATCACACTGCCACTGTACTCCAGCCTAGATGACAGAGTGAGCATCCATTCAAAAAAAAAAAATTTACAGATGTCTTGAGTTTGCTTCAAAATAATCCGGAGGTTGGGGAGGAGTCGGGGAGCAAACAGGTGAAACAAGATTGACCATGTGACAGGCAGGTACCCAGAGGTTCACTATATTATATCCTCTACTTTTGTATATATCTAAGATTTTTCATAATAAAACTTTTTTTAATGCTTCCGTATTCGTCTGTTATTGCTACAGTGTAACTGCATGACAAATGATCCCCCAAATTCAGAAAAGGCATTAAACCGCCAAGGCGACTTGGTCATCTACATCAGCCAGCTTCAGTCCTTGACCACCCTCATGCTAGCACAAAGGACACATAAAGTAATTGACCACAGTTGGAGAGATGGAGGCTATGTGTGGGCCCAACACATAGCATAGGCTCCCCCTAACAAAGGCTGAGTGAGCTGCTGGTGCTAATGCACATCCAGCCTGCCAGCAACAGAGAAGAACACAGAATTCCCCATAGAGCACCATTCCTTAAGGACGCCAATTGCCTTCTTGGGGGTAAATTAACTATTTTGGGTCCCTTCTATCCTGCAAAGGCCAGTGATTCATTATCGTAGGATAATATCTATCTATCTATCTATCTATCTATCTATCTATCATCATCTATCTATCTTTTTGAGACAGCAGACTCTTGCTATATTGCCAAGGCTGGAATACAGTGGCATGATCTCTGCTCACTGCAACCTCCACCTCCAAGGTTCAGGCAATTCTCATGCCTCAGCCTCCCAAGTAGCTGGGATTACAGGCATGCACCACCACACCCAGCTAATGTTTGTATTTTTAGTATAGATGAGATTTTGCCATGTTGGCCAGGCTGGTCTCAAACTCCTGACCTCCTGATGATCCACCAACCTTGGTCTCCCAAAGTGCTGAGATTACAGGCATGAGCCACCATAACCATGCTTGGCTTTTTTTTTTTTTGAGACAGAGTCTCACTTTGTTACCCAGGCTAGAGTTCAGTGGCCCGATCTCCGCTCACTGCAACCGCCGCCTTCTGGGTTCAAGCAATTCTGCCTCAGCCTCCCAAGTAGCTGGAACTACAGGCTTGTAGCACCACACCCAGTTAATTTTTGTATTTTAGTAGAAATGGGGTTTCTCCATGTTGGCCAGGATGGTCTCGATCTCTTGACCTTGTGACCGCCTGCCTGGGCCTTCCAAAGTGCTAGGATTACAGGCATAAGCCACCGCACCCGGCCCTTTTTTTTTTTTTTTAAGACAGAGTTTCACTCATTGCCCAGGCTGGAGTGCAATGGCACGATCTCAGCTCACTGCAACCTTCACCTCCGAGGTTCAAGCAGTTCTCCTGTCTCTGTCTCCCAAGTGGCTAGATTACAGGCTAATTTTTATAATTTTAGTAGAGACAGGGTTTCACCATGTTGATGATGGTCTCGAACTCCTGACCTCCAGAGATCCACCCGCCTCCAAAGTGTTGGGATTACAGGTGTTAGCCACCGTACCAGGAGGAAATTAATATTGATGCAGTCAGCCGGGCGCGGTGGCTCAAGCCTGTAATCCCAGCACTTTGGGAGGCCGAGGCGGGTGGATCACGAGGTCAACAGATCGAGACCATCCTGGTCAACATGGTGAAACCCCGTCTCTACTAAAATTACAAAAAATTAGCTGGGCCTGGTGGCGCGTGCCTGTAATCCCAGCTACTCAGGAGGCTGAGGCAGGAGAATTGCCTGAACCCAGGAGGCGGAGGTTGCGGTGAGCCGAGATCGCGCCATTGCACTCCAGCCTGGGTAACAAGAGCGAAACTCCGTCTCAAAAAAAAAAAAAAAAAAAAAAAAAAAAATATTGATGCAGTCCATAGATCTTGTTCAGATTTCAGCAGCTTACATATTCGGAGTGTGACATGGTAAAAGCCCCACCAAACTGCATACCTCAACCATACCTCAGCTTTCTGTTGAAACTGCCCTCTCTAACCCAAATGTAAATAAGTAATTAAGGACTGTGATCCCCACCCTACCCAGACAATGTGTAGGCAATGCTAATCTTAGCTTTGGTGAACCACTTAAGTAACAACCGGAATGTCAAATAGTCCCCTGGCCCTCGGAATGTCTGAAACCCCTCACCCCATCCCCACCCCTCACCCCATCACCACCCCTCACCCTCATCTCTGCCCAGAAGGTGATTTGCAGAATCCACTAGCCCTCGGAATGTCTGAAGCCCCTCACCCCCATCCCGCCCCTCACCCCCACTTCCAAGGTGGTTTTACGGGTATAAAAAGGTCTCGTCACCCTTCCTTCTCTGCCACAGGTTGGAGAGACGTGAGTCGTCCGTGGTCGCCGGCAATAAACCCTGCAGTTTGGCATACTTTTGTCTTGGTGTTGACTTTCTATGCTCGGTCCACTATAACAGGAGTAACATTTTAAATAAGCAAATCTGATCATATCACTTACCTGCTAAAAACTTTTCCAAGGATATTTATTGCATCATTGTTTGAATTTGTTAAAAAGTTACAAATAATTGTTCTTGACAGCTGGTTAAAAAGAAAAAAAAAAAACAAAAAAATTAAAAATTTAATTATAAACAACCTGAATGTACAGCAACAGGAGGATGGTTGAATAGATTACATTGCATTCATTCAATAGGCACACAATGCAGCCAGGAAAACTATGCTAGCAGCTGTACATGTACTGATATGTGTCGGGAACCAACCCAACCCTGTACATGGGTGCCCTGAGTCCCGGCGCTGATGAGGGAGTGAGAAAAGAAATAAGACAGAGCCTAGTAGAAGTTCACAGCGTGGGTCCGGGGTCCAACACACTCTCGCTAGGACCTGGCCCTTAGTGCTGGGCTTCACAGGCTTTTATTAGGTGCATTATCTTGTTAATCTTGCGGGCTGTGGGGAGGGGAGGTGAGACGGAAGATGGCCAGGGGAGGAGCAAGTGTCTGCGGCATTCAATAGCAAATGTGGTTCTTCTAAGAAATGCTAACTAAGGACACTGAGTTTTTACCACCCATTGTCTATCAGGTGCATTTGCAAAGTGGCATAGCGGATAAGGCGGCATAGGTCTGACCACACACAATGCATCAAGGGGTTTTTATCTCCCAAGCATTGCAGACACAGAGCAATCAGAATTACTCCATATGCTGAGAACATAGGCAGAGCCTGTGGCATTCTGGTTATCTCTGCCCTGCAAGACTTTCCTGCCCTGCAAGCTCCCATCTGCAAAGACTCTCCCTAGGCTTGTGAGCAGAGGTTGCATTCCTTCCCAGAGTTCTTGCTAGGAGACCCTCACACAGACTCTATGTTGGGAAGTGATATGGGACCAAAGCACTTCTTCCTGCTTTTCATAAAGCGCTCTGAGATGGCTTCGTTATAGACCTCCTGTTACCACTTGATCTCTGCTTTTATTTTACTGTACCATAGTTTGGAGTTTTCTTTTTTTTTTTTTTTTGAGACGGAGTTTCGCTCTTGTTACCCAGGTTGGAGTGCAATGGCGCGATCTCGGCTCACCACAACCTCCGCCTCCCCGGTTCAAGCAATTCTCCTGCCTCAGCCTCCCAAGTAGCTGGGATTACAGGCGCACACCACCATGCCCAGCTAATTTTTGTATTTTTAGTAGAGACGGGGTTTCACCTCGTTGACCAGGATGGTCTCGATCTCCTGACCTCATGATCCACCCTCCTCGGCCTCCCAAAGTGCTGGGATTATAGGCGTGAGCCGCCACGCCCAGCCTGGAGTTGTCTCAATTCAATATTTGATCCGTGGCACCAATCTCAGTGTATAAAAAAGCAAAGCAGGGCCAGGCATGGTGGCTCAGGCCTGTAATTCAAGCACTTTGGAGGCCGAGGAGGGCGGATCACCTGAAGTTGGGAGTTCAAGACCAGCCTGACCAACATGGCAAAACCCCATCTTTTAAAAAAATTAAATAGGGCCAGGCGTGGTGGTTCACGCCTGTAATCCCAGCACTTTGGGAGGCCGAGGTGGGTGGATCACAAGGTTAAGAGATCGAGACCATCCTGGTCAACATGGTGAAACCCTGTCTCTACTAAAAATACAAAAATTAGCTGGGCATGGTGGTGCACCCCTGTAGTCCCAGCTACCTGGGAGGCTGAGGCAGGAGAATTGTTTGAATCCAGGAGGCAGAGGTTGTGGTGAGCCAAGATCGTGCCATTGCACTCCAGCCTGGGTAACAAGAGCAAAACTCCGTCTCAATTAAAAAAAAAAAAATTAAATTAATAAAAAATGCAAAGCAAACTTGTAATCATTTAACTATAAGTAACACCGGTCTGCCCCTGGCCGTCTTTTCCTACAGATACGCGCTGGGTTCCAGGGTCCATTATTTCCTACTGAAATGACCCAGATGCAGAATTGTGAATACCTTTTGGTATAAAGGCATAGAATAGAGGGAAGGGTAGGTAGCACACTGGCCACAGTAGTTGTCTCAGTAGGCTGAGATTCTGTACTGGGATGGAAAGTTAATTCACTCTGTTTTGCAGTGGTTCTCAAAGTTCTGGCTTTGAAAAACCCCGCAAAGTTCAGGACCCCTCTACATTCTAAAAATTACTGAGGGCCCCCAAAAACACTTTCATTAATGAGGGTTATTAGAAATTAAAGCTAAAAAATTGTAAAAATATTCACAAATTAGTTCATTTAGAAATAACAACCATAGGTTGGGGGGCTCATACCTGTGATCCCAACGTTTTGTGGGGCTGATGCAGGCTTATCACTTGATCTCAGAAGTTTGAGACCAGCCTGGCTCTCTACAAAATATACAAAAATTAGTCGGATCTGGTGGCAGTGCATGCTGGTAGTCCCAGCTACTCGGGAAGCTGAGGCTGAAGAATCACTTGAGCCCAGGAGGCAGAGGTTGCAGTGAGCCAAGATTGTGCCACTGCACTCCAGCATGGGCAATAGAGTGAGACCCTGTCTCAAAGAAGAAAGAACAATAAAGCAATTATAGGGTTAATATAAATAACCATTTTATAAAAAGTAACTATTCTTTCCAAAACAAAAACATTTAGTGAGAAAAATGATTTTGTTTTGCATTTTTGCACATCTCTTTATTATTGACTTAATTTAAAAATCTTCATTCTGGCTGGGCACCATGGCTCATGCCTGTAATCCCAGCACTCTGGGAGGCTGAGGCAGGCATATTACCTGAGACCAGGAGTTTGAGACTAGACTGGCCGACACGGCAAAACCCCGCCTCTACTAAAAACACAAAAATTAGCCGAGCATGGTCGTGAGCACCTGTAGTCCCAGCTACTTGGGAGGCTGAGGCAGGACAATCGCTTGAACCTGGGAGGTGGAGGTTGCAGTGAACTGAGATTTCCCCACTGAACTTCAGCCTGGGTGACAGAGCAAGACTCTGTCTCAAACAACTTAATTAAAAAAAAAACACACACAATTGTTCTGCCTTGCACTTTTTTTTTTTTTTTTGAAACGGAGTCTTGCTCTGTTGCCCAGGTACAATGGCCCGATCTCAGCACACTGCAATCTCCCCCTCCCGGGTTCAAGCAATTCTTCTGCCTCAGACTCCCAAGTAGCTGGGATTACAGGTGCCTGCCACCATGCCCAGCTAATTTTTTTGTATTTTTAGTAGAGATAGGGTTTCACCGTGTTAGCCAGGTTGGTCTCTATCTCCTGACCTCATGATCTGCCCACCTCAGCCTCCTAAAGTGCTGGGATTACAGGTGTGAGCCACCGTTTTCAGCCTCTTTTTTTTTTTTTTGACAGGGTCTCACTCTGTTATCCAGGCTGGATTACAGTGGCTGGATCATAGCTCATTGCAACCTCAAATTCTGGGGCTCAAGCAATCCTCCTGCCTCAGTTTCCTTACTAGCTGAGACTGTAGGTGTGTGCCACCATGCCTGGCTAATTTTTTATTTTTTAAAATAAAGATGGGGTCTTGCTATGTTGCCCAGGCTAGCCTCCAACTCCTCAACTCTAGTGATCCTCCCACCTCTACCTACCAAAGTGTTGGGATTACAGGCATAAGCCACTGTACTCAGCCTTGTCTTGCACCTTAAATGAATATTTTATGTGAGTGTAATTTTGTAAAATTATGCATTTGTCATTTGGAAAGTACTGATAGAGTAATGCAGATCATCCAACTTTTGACACATTTCCTTAGACAATATTAAAAAATTACCTTTGTTAATATCACTACTAATCTCATAAGAAAAGTGTTTAAGTAAGGCTGGGCATGGTGGCTCATGCCTGTAATCCCAGCACTTTTGGAGGCTGAGGTGGGTAGATCAGCTGAGGTCAGGAGTTCGAGATCAGCCTGGCCAACATGGTGAAACCTCATCTCTACTAAAAATGCAAAAATTAGCCATGAGTGGTAGTGCGTGCCTGTAATCCCAGCTACTTGGGAGGTTGAGGCAGGAGAATCGCTTGAACCGGGAGGCAGAGGTTCTAGTGAGCTGAGATTATGCCACTGCACTCCAGCCTGGGTGACAGAGTAAGACTCCATCTCACAAACAAAAAAAGAAAAAAAAAAGTGTTTAAGTACCAGGAAGCTTGTCAAGCTCACAATGGTGGATTCAAATTTCAAAATTCTAACTTTTGCTTGAAAGCTCAAATTTTATCATTGGCAACAAATGCCGCCAGCTGCGTTTATGGAATGACAGTTTCACTTTATTTATTACCGAGAAACGCCTGCTAAATACCAATTGGAATAATCACAGTTTGTCAGTCTTTCAAGTAAGAATGGTGTTCTGTGAAAAAAGCAGCTAGTTTGACTGACAACTCAATCTCACAAGCATTCATCCTTCAAGAAACCCATCATCCTTTGGTAAGCAGCAGAAGTGCTTTCTACATGCTCCCCTTTCATCACACAAAATATCAAAAATATAAAAGATATATACCACTCATAGATTGACAGTTAATACAAATATTTTTTACTGTTCCATCAAGGTCATTCATAAATTAAATGTTTTTAAATTGCAAATACACGGCAATGAAAAATACAACGCTAGCCTGGGGAACATACTGAGACTCCGTCTCTACAAAAAAATAAAATAAAAAATTAGCTGGGTGTGGCGGTAACTGCCTGTAGCTCCAGCTTCTTGGGAGGCTGAGGTGGGAGGATCGTTTGAGCCTGGGAGGTCAAGGCTGCAGTGTCAGGGAGGAAAAACTTTTCCTCTACTTTCTTAGTTTCATTGATTAAGAGGTCTGTGAATTAAACTGACAAAGGGCTGGGCGCGGTGGCTCACGCCTATAATCCCAGCTCTTTGGGAGGCTGAGGCAGGTGGATCACAAGGTCAAGAGATCAAGACCATTCTGGTCAACAAGGTGAAACCCCGTCTCTACTAAAAACACAAAAAATTAGCTGGGCCTGTAGTCCCAGCTACTCGGGAGGCTGAGGCAGGAGAATTGCTTGAACCCAGGAGGCGGAAGTTGCGGTGAGCCAAGATTGCGCCATTGCACTCCAGCCTGGGTAACAAAAGTGAAACTCCATCTCAAAATAAATAAATAAGTAAACTGACAGAGGACAGAAATACAGGAGAAAAGGCATACAACTTTTATGAGTTTTTACGTGCATGAGAGTTCACAGAAAAGAAATGAAACTCAAAGAAGTAGTTAGACATGGGGACTTACATACCATTTTAACAAAGGAAAAAGGGTTTGGGCATCAAGATCAAGGGTGACAAATTATGGGGAAGTAGCTAGGAAATATATGGGGAATGAATGGACGATAAAAGTTATTTTAGTAAGATCTGTTTATGCAAAGTCATCTTGGTGTTCACAAAGGGTACGCCTTGTTTTTTGCAGCTAAGAGGAAAGCAGAGAACTCTTCCCGCAACTGTTGATTCTCAGTTGCATTCCACTCAAAATAGTCCTTCTGCCAAAGTGGCTTATTTTGGAGTGGCTTATTTTGATCTTCTCGAGCACTACTGCCTTAATTTGTACCAAAGCAATGACAGATTCACTTGCCATTGCTTTTGAGCAGTCTCAGTCATAATAACACAGCATTTGAATGAAAAGGGCATAGAGGCTGGGTATGGTGGCTCATGCCTGGAATCCTAGAACTTTGGGAGGCCGAAGTGGGCAGATCACCTGAGGTCAGGAGTTCGAGTCCAGCCCGACCGATATGGAGAAATCCTGTCTCTACTAAAAATACAAAAATTAGCTGGGTGTGGTGGCATGCGTCTGTAGTCCCAGCTACTCTGGAGGCTGAGACAGGAGAATTGCTTGAATCTGGGAGACTGCAGTGAGATTAGACTGTGCCACTGCACTCCAGCCTGGCTACAGAGCGAGACTCCACCTCAAAAAAAGAAAAAGAAAGAAAGAAAGAAAGAAAAGGGCATAAAATGCCTTAGTATGGCCGGGCGCAGTGGCTCACGCCTATAATCCTAGCACTTTGGGAGGCCAAGGAGGGTGGATCACAAGGGCAAGAGATCGAGACCATCCTGGTCAGCAAGGTGAAACCCCATCTCTACTAAAAATACAAAAAATTAGCTGGGCATAGTGGCGCGCACCTGTAGTCCCAGCTACTCGGGAGGCTGAGGCAGGAGAATTGCTTGAACCCAGGAGGCGGAGGTTGCAATGAGCTGAGATCGTGCCATTGCACTCCAACCTGGGTAACAAGAGCGAAACTCCGTCTCAAAAAAAAAAAAAAAAAGTCTTAGTATTAGGCTGGGCGTGGTGACTCACGCCTGTAATCCAAGCACTTTGGAGGCCAAGGTGGGCGGATCGGGAGTTCAAGACCAGCCTGACCAACATGGTGAAACCTCGTCTTTAAAAAATAAATAAAGTAAAATAAAAAGTCTTAGTATTATCATAAACATAGTTTTGACCTTGCAGATCTCTAAGTATCTTGGGGACCTTCAGGGTCCATAGGCCATACTTTCACAACACTCCTCTTCTATATTGTATTGCTTGTTTGTTTACTTTAACCAACAAATAAATGATTGTTTTTGAGACAGGATCTTGCTCTGTTACCCAGACTGGAGTGCACTGGCATAATCATAACTCACTGCAGCCTTGACCTCCTGGGCTCAAGCAATCCTCCTGCCTCAGCCTCCCAAGTAGCTGAAACTACAGGTGCACACTACCATGCCCAGCTGATTTTTGTATTTTTTGTAGAGATGGGGTTTCACCATGTTGCCCAGAGTGGTCTCAAACTCCTGGCTCAAGTGAGACCCACCTTGGCCCCCTAAAGTGTCAAGATTACAGGTGTGAACCACCACATCCAAATAAACAATTTTAAAGCACCCCTTCCATGGCTCCCCACTGCTGAGTGTAAGTACAGATGCCTTGGCCTAAGATCCAAAGTCTTTTTTTTTTAAATTGAGACAGAGTTTCGCATTGTTACCTAGGCTGGAGTGCAATGGCAGGATCTCGGCTCACCGCAACCTCCGCCTCCTGGGTTCAGGCAATTCTCCTGCCTCAGCCTCCTGAGTAGCTGGGATTACAGGCACGGGCCACCATCCCAGCTAATATTTTGTATTTTTAGTAGAGACGGGGTTTCACCATGTTGACCAGGATGGTCTCGATCTCTTGACCTTGTGATCCGCCCGTCTCGGCCTCCCAAAGTGCTGGGATTACAGGCGTGAGCCACCATGCCCGGCCAATCCAAAGTCTTATTAAGTGACTGGCTAAGTTACAGAAGCTACTGGGATTCTCAGACATACTTGCATGCATTTCTGTTCCTGCATCATCCATCTCTATTTTCTCCCAAGCATTCTTTTTTTCTTTTTTTGAGAAGTCTCACTCTGTTGCCCAGGCTAGAGTGCAGTGGTGCGATCTTGGCTTACTGCAACCTCCGCCTCACTGCAACCTCTGCCTCACAGTTTCAAGCAATTCTCCTGCCTCAGCCTCTCTTGTAACTGAGCACCATCCTGGCTGATTTTTTGTATTTTTAGTAGAGATGGGGTTTCACCTTGTCAGCCAGGATGGTCTCGATCTCCTGACCTTGTGATCTGCCCTCCTTGGCCTCCCAAAGGGCTGGGATTATAGGCGTTAGCCACTGTGCCCAGCCTCTCCCAAGCATTCTTTAAGTCCAAGCCCTACAATCAATCTCCCTAACTCCTCCAAGTAAAGGCCATTGTGACCGTGATTAATGAAGGGGCTGCAGATACACACATGGGGTGGGATGCACGGCAACTCACCAGGCATCTTCCCAGGGCTTAGTCTGCCATATGATCTCTGGTGCCAGACCTTAAAAATGTGTGCAGGAGCAATGGCGGCAGGTGCTGGGGAGAGGGGAGATCTCCTAGGAATTCTGGAATGCACCGAAAAAGGCCACTCCCTTCTGTTGCCAAGGTACTGTCTCTCTCTATGCTTTAGGCCAACGGTGTCTTGGGATGGTTCTTGTTGAGGGGCGACTGGGAACTGTAGTGGGGCAACCTAGTGTTGCCAGATAAAATATAGAAATCTTAGTTAAAATTAGATTTAAAATAACAACTACTCTTTTAGTATAAGCATATCCCAAATACTGCATGGGACTTCCTCATTCTAAAAAAAAAATTCAGTGCTAGGCTGGGTGTGGTGACTCACATCTGTAATCCCAGCACTTTGGGAGGCCGAGGCAGGTGAATCACGTGGTCAGGAGTTCAAGACCAGCCTAATCAACATAGTGAAACCCTGTCTCTACTAAAAATACAAAAATTAGCCGAGCATAGTGGCGGACCCTTGTAATCCCGGATATTCGGGAGGCTGAAGCAGGAGAATCCCTTGAACACAGGAGGCAGAGGTTGCAGTGAGCTGAGATCCATCATTGCACTCCAGCCTGGGCAACAGAGTGAGACTCCATCTCAAAAAAAAAAAAAAAAAAAAAAAAAGAAAGAAAGAAAGGCCAGGAGCTGTCGAGCACACCTGTAATCCCAGCACTTTAGGAGGCTGAGGTGGGTGAATTCATGAGGTCAGTCAGGAGTTCGAGACCAGCCTGACTAACATAGTGAAACCGCCGTCTCTGCTAAAGATACAAAAACATTATCTGGTTGTGGTAGCGCGCCTGTAATCCCAGCTACTCGGGAGGCTGAGGCAGGAGAATCGCTTGAATCTGGGAAGCGGTGGTTGCAGTGAACAGTGATCATGCCATTGCATTCCAGCCTGGGTGACAGGGAAAGACTATGTCTCAAAAATAATAACAAAATAAAAATAAATAAAAATTCAATGTTTATCTGAAATTCAAAATGGAGTCCTGTATTGTTTGCTAAATCTGGCGTCCCCATGCCGTCCATTGCTCTTCAGCTCAGTGAACCAAGTGGTCCCTCTTCACTTACCTGGCCACCTATCAAACCTTCCCAGACCTGGTCCTGGCTGACTCTCGGCAGCACAGCCCACTGAAAGGAACCCTTTCCAGCACAAAGCTGCCCAGAGCCTGGGAGCAGAAGCAAACTGCACGCTGGGACGGGGTTGGCAGATTAGTTAGGCTATGCCTTTGGAGAACTAACTCCTCTCGGAGAAGGGGGCTGTCTCTCACAGCCAGGACTTTTGGGGGCGCCTACACGGACATGCCCTCCTTCCTTGACCCACTTCTGCTCCCCACTCCCCACCCCTGTCCAGCCCTGTCTCTAGCCTTCCTGGGTTGCCATCTCTGCAACGCTCCCCGTGCCAGGACTGCTTGTCAATCCTGCAGAAACTAAAGCCCAGTCCCTCCCCTAGGAGGTCTGGGTGTCCGGGATTCCCCTGGTGGATGAGTCTGGCCCGAGGTTGGAGACAATGATGCATTCTTCCTCCCAGACAGCGGCTTCTCTACCAGCCGCTGCTTTGCCTTTTCTCCTTTTAAGTACCCCAGGGCAAACTCTCCTTCCATCTGGGAGGACTTCTTCCTTCCAAAGGTCCCAGAGGCGGATGTGTCCTCTAGCCTGAAGCTGTCACTTTTCTCCATTCTCATGACCTTGCTCCCTTCCCTGTGAAGGGTCTTGTTATGCTGAAGGCACCTTTCCCTCCTTCCAGGCTGGCGTTCCCAGCATCCCCACGGAAACCGCAAATGCCTGCTGCTGAACCGTCTGGCCACATGGCTCCAATCTGCCTTCTCTCCCACCCTCGGATTCCCCTCCTGGAAGGAGCCACAGGGAAAGAGGGTTAGGCAAGGCATCCCTGGCGTGCCTCAGTCCCTGAGGCATAATAATGTAATGGTGGTTGTTTCATGCCACTAAGTCTTGGGGTGTTTTGTCGCATAACTGGAACTGGAACATGTTTGATCACAGGCTCCATCATCCTGCCCCAGGCACAGCTTGGGTTGGTGTGTGGGAGCTGCTGAACGCCTGTCCAAACTCTCTATGCCCCCCCATGTCCCTCTGCACAGACGGCCCCCATTGGCCATCCTTTGGGCCTAGAAGTGCATGTCCTGCTGCCCCTGGGCAGCAACGTGGGGTGGAGGCCAGCTCAGGTCTGGAAAGTGCACTTGGGGCCTTGTGGGCAGAGGACCCAGAGAGTGACCTCGAAGAAAGTCATGGGCTCCACGTGGGTTGAACCCTTAGTCCCAGTGGGCCAAGAAGCAGGCAGAAGGGGACCAGAGTGAGGCTGTCTAAAGCGTATGGAGCCCCATGCCACGGCTAAGGAAAGTACTAGCTGAGCACTTCATATCTTTCATCTCTTTTTTTAAAATTTTTTTCTCTTTCTTTCTTTTTTTTAATAAAAACAGGGTTTCGGCTGGGCACGGTGGCTCAAGCCTGTAATCCCAGCATTTTGGGAGGCCGAGGCAGGTGGATCACCTGAGGTTGGGAGTTCAAGACTATCCTGGTCAACATGGTGAAACCCCGTCTCTACTAAAAATACAAAAAATTAGCTGGGATGGTGGCGCATGCCTGTAATCCCAGCTACTCAGGAGGCTGAGGCAGGAGAATTGCCTGAACCCAGGAGGCGGAGGTTGCGGTGAGCTGAGATCGCGCCATTGCACTCCAGGCTGGGTAACAAGAGCGAAACTCCGTCTCAAAACAAAACAAAACAAAACAAAACAAAAAAAACAGGGTTTCACCATGTTGGTCAGGCTGGTCTTGAACTCCCGACCTCAGGTGATCTGCCTGCCTTGGCCTCCAAAGTGCTTGGATTACAGCGTGAGCCACCACCCCCGGCCTTTTAAATTTTTTTTTTGAGATGGAGTCTCGCTCTATAGCCCAGGCTGGAATGCAGTGGTGGGATCCAGGCTCACTGCAACCTCCACCTCCCAGGTCCCAGTTCAAGAAATTCTCCTAAATCAGTCTCCCAAGTAGCTGGGATTACAGGTATGAGCCACCATGTCCAGCTAATTTTTGTATTTTTTAGTAGAGACGAGTTTTCACCATCTCTGGTCTTGAACTCCTGACCTGGTGATCTGCCTGCCTCAGCCTCCCAAAGTGCTGGGATTACAGGCATCAGCCACCGTGCCTGGCCTCTTCATCTCTTGTTTGTTTGCCTGAGAGATAGGATCTCCTTTGGTTGCCCAGGCTGGAGTGCAGTGACTATTCACGGGCACAATCACAGCTCAATGCAGCCTCAAACTCCTGACCTCAGCCTCCCAAGTAGCTGGGACTACAGACATGAGTCACTGCATCCAGCACTATCCATCATCGCTTGATCCTCACCCAGTCCTGCTCCACTGGGCTCATCTTCACTGCCCCAATGAGAGCACCAAGGCTTGTAGAAAGCCAGCCGCCTGCCCAGGGTTCTTGGACGTATGTCTGAAGCCAAGGCCAGGAACTCTCCATTATACCACACGGCCTCAAAGACCCTGTCCTTGGTTCAAAGACACTTGACTGAGCATTTTGTAGAAACGTAGTCATGCCGGGCGCAGTGGCTCACGCCTGTAATCCTAGCACTTTGGGAGGCTGAGGTGGGTGGATCACCCAAGGTCAGGAGTTCAAGACCAGCCCATCAGGGTGAAACCCATCTTTAAAAAAAAGAAAGAAACATAGTTGCTTTAGCTTTGTTTAAAATCAACATCATCATCCCCTAACCCCCCACCACACACACACACACACAAAGATTACTGGGCACACTGGCTCACACCTATGATCCTAGCACTTCGGGAGGCCAAGGCAGGTGGATTGCCTAGGCTCAACAGTTTGAGACCAGCCTGGGCAACACAGCAAAACCCTGTCTCTACTAAAATACAAAAATATTAGCCATGCACGGTGACACATGCCTGTAGTCCCAGCTACTCAGGAGGCTGATTCAGGAGAATTGCTTGAACCTGGGAGGCAGAGGTTGTGGTGAGCTGAGATCGTGCCACTACACTCCAGCCTGGGCGACAGAGGGAGACTCTGTCTCCAAATAAATAAATAAATAAACATCAAAACTAAAACAACTTTAGGCTGTAACTGGGGAGCCTGAAATAGGAAGACCTGGCCTTGACCCTGGGGGATGAGGCCAAAACACAGAGGCTGTAGGGATCCAGCCACCTAACTTCTGTCCAGCCCGGAGCACAATTCCTTTGCAGGTCCCCAAACCATGCTGGTGGAGCCTCATCTATCTCTTTAGCTCCCCATCAGAGGGATCACTTTATCAGCTGTGCAGTCTTTCAGCCCAACGTCCACACCAGGACTCTCTTTTAAACCGGTTTGACCTTGAGAGAGGCAGTCCCGCTCCTTATCTATGTTTTGTTTCGCGTTGGCTTCCTGGCGGGTTTTCAGGGAGACTTTGGTTTCTCTGTTATCTCCCTGCTGGGTTTCAAAGCTGCCCCCTCAGCTGCTCTCAGCCTGAGATGTGCCTTCTCCTGCAGGGACAGAGAGTTGGAGGAGGAAGGGACCCCAAATGGACTCTGCCAGAGCCTTCCCTTCCAGCCGTCGTCTCCTGGGCACCCACCCCCAACGCCTGGAACTTGCCAGCTCTCATCAAGGCTGGCTGGGTGTCACTTGTGCCTTCTCCAGGGACATATAATGTCTAGAGAGTGGGCCTCATAGGGCCAAGATCGGGGGAAAGGAGAGGGGTTCAAAACCCCCTTTACAAAAATTATAACTGAGGAAATTATGACAGTAAAAGATCAGACCTAACCGACTCCATCTTGCTTCTAACCTTTAAGCTGTCCTGGCTCATTCCTGGGCATAGGCCGAACTAACATTGGGAAGGAATTCAGTTTATGGTTTGACTCTGAAACAAAATTGATAATAGATCTTTCCTGTAAAGACTCCCTTTTTCCTTGAGGACCAGTCTGCCTTTGCAGAACTAACAAATTAGCTGCAAGATTATAAGTTACGGTTTAAAGCTGGGGGCATCCTGGGTGGGATGGCAGAACTGGCTGAGCCAGATTACCGGTCTGGGTGGTGCCAGCTGATCCATCC